CCTGGTCATCCTAATGAAATGACATGTTTGGTCACAAGATATTTCTGTCCAATCTGTCTAACTGAAACAGGCTGAGTGTGATTTTTCTGTGGCTGAGATTGGCTCACTCGTTTAAAATTAAATCACAGCATTCAGCAGCACCCTTTGGGTTTATCAACCTGAACGGGAGATTTCCAGCAGCTACCAGAGACCTACTCTCACCTGCATCTTGTTCCGTTTTAAGAAGATATGGTGAAGATATCAGGGGATATAATCAAACTCCAGATGCGTTTTGACAGCCTTAGACTTTCTCTACCAATGAGAAATTCAACAGGGCCACAGACAAACCGCATCTGTTCAGGACAAAGTAGATTGGGTTTTCAATTGACCTGCGTGTGAAACAATGAAAGAAGGTAGTTGATGGTGTGTCAGCAGTGCGCTACATCTGCCCAAAGGGCTGATGTGATATGAGGCCACATTAAGAGAAACGGTGTCGAGAGTGAGGGTGGTGATAGACTGCCCGACTTGTTCCTTGTCAGACTGCGCCTGGAGGGTACATTCCAATCAACTGGAATATGTTCAGAGGCAAACAAAACCATAGTGAGAGAAGAGTTGAAAACTAGATTTAACATAAAGAAGAGAAGCCACAGGGTTTCTGAAATGCTGTCTTCCAATACTCGAAGCCTCACATGTGGAATTAACAGATGCTCCCTAAGTAAGTCCTCAAGGTCTGCAGCTATCATGTTTTGCTGACAACTCCACGTCTTAAGTCCAGATCACTCTTTGAGGCTCTATCTGTCCATTCAGTCAGAGACCTGGGAGGCCTCCTTACCCCTCTTCCTCCCTCTCCCCTACATTCATTTTGCCCCTAAGTCTTGTTACTTCAACCCTGCCTCCAAATGCTTCCTTAGTCTGCCTTCTCTTCTTCTATCTTGTTTTCTACAGTAATGTCAACTCACTTCCCCAGTTCCACCACACACCATACACAGTGATCTTTCTAAAACACAGGCTCCATTGTGTCACTCCCCTGCCTAAAACCCTCTAAAGGCCTCTCTGTTGCCTTCACAAATCTAAATTCTTTCTTTTTGGCTGTACCTAACAACTTGAGGGATCTTAGTTCCCTGACCAGGGACTGAACCCGGGCCCTAGGCAGTGAAAGTGCTGAGTCCTACCACTGGACGGCCAGGAAATCCCAGAAGTCTCAATTCTTGAATGTTGCATCTGAGGCCTTCCACAACCCTGTCCATGGCTACCTCTCCATCCTCCATTCCTGCCACTGACCAGTAACTCCCAGTAACTCCCAGTAAGAGGTTTCCTGTGCTCTTCCTCCAGTTTTTGCCTCTGCCTTTGCTCATTCTGACCTTTCTGTGTCATACCCCATTTTGCTCTTCTTGCCTCATCTGATTTTTCCTTGTTTTTCAAAATAAATCTACAGAAACCCTTCTACTATTAGGCTTGGCTGAGAATCACTGCAAGGCATTTTCATGGTGCCTCATGCCTGCTCCAGTCATTAATAGCGCATGAGATAGGGATGCTCCCCTCTGGGCCCTGTGACTTATCTATGGGCATCTCCAGGGCCTCTTCCTGAATCAACCCTGAATATTCACTGGAAGGACTGATGCTGAAGCTGAAGCTCCAATACTTTGGCCACCTGATGCAAAGAGTTGACTCATTAGAAAAGACCCTGATACTGGGAAAGATTGAAGGCAGGAGCAGAAGCGGGAGACAGAGGACAAGATGGCTGGATGGCATCACTGACTCAATGCACATGAGTTTGAGCAAGCTCCAGGAGATGGTGAGGGACAGGGAAGCCTAGCGTGCCACAGTCCATGGGGTCACAAAGAGACACGACTTAGCAACTGAACACCGATAATCAGGCCCTTTTCCAGTGCCAGTCACACAGGTGCGGGAGCAGACCTGAGCACAGAAGAGTGCCACCTGTGTTTCAGTGCCCCTTCGCCTCTCCACTCACTGCGCCATTGGCTTGGGCTTTCACATCCTCAGTTGCTCTGGGTGTGGCGGGGTCTTCTCTGACATTTCCCTGACAACCCCTCACTTAGAATAATGAACATCCTCAATCCTTAGCCCAGTGAAACCTTCCAGATGTTATCTGCACCTGCCTTTCCACCTCCAACACACTATGCCATTTGGGAGGCCACTGAACATTCCTGGAGATGCACCTTGAGCTGATTTTCCTTTTCACCCAAGGATCATTTTCTGAGCAGCATCAAGTGTTTCTAGTTGGGGCAGTCTGGCACCCTGGACCTATTTTCCCTGGAAGAAGAGGGCTGCTGGCAATCCCTGACTCTCCAGAGCTATTGGCATCTGAGTGAATGGTAGCTGTCATTACCAGCATATGGATGTGCACACGTGTAGATGCCTCTAATTTCTCTGCTGCTCTGATAATCCTACAGTGCAGAGACCCCGAGGCTGCCCACCTTGGATGGCCCTCCTTTCATACAGGCATGAGGAGAGACCTTCAGCTTGGAGGAGGGACACACCTGTAACATGAGAGGCTCTGTCAATATCCCCCTGCCTCCTCTCTCTCTCCACGTGGGGATGGTGCTTACAAAACACTGGTTCAGACACTAACCCTGGTGGTTATGATCTATCTGCTCTGAAAGACAAGGGAGAGTTTTTAGGGAGCAGAGCCACAGTCATGCACAAGGGGTGCACTCTAGCATTTACCAGAAGATGTCACTGTTGGCTTAAATCAGTAAAACAAATGTGGGCTGGAGGACTGTCAACTGAGCATGAAGGTGACTCCATCATGGAGCTTTTAAACACCCATTTATAATGCATGCCTGGAAAAGCTGGTTGAAAGACTAATCCAAGCGTGTCACTGGTCTTCATAAATTTCTTTTTTCTCCAAATAATCAGACTAATTGCCATGAAGCTGTGGCCTCAGGCCTAGCATGAAGGCTTAATAAATCTACCAAAGGAGTGAGTGAATGAATGAATACCAAAGCAAGGAATAGAAGTTCGGAGCCCATGGGAACAACAGTCACCTTTGTTGGTCAAGGCTACTGGGGAAGAAAAGCTGCTCGTTGTTAGCAGTGGGTCTTTACAGAAATGAATTTGAGTGGCCGCAGCCAGACAAAAGAGTGAGGCCAGTCAATGTGGGTTTGCCACCCCTCCAGCCTCACTCCAAGATGCTTCTCTTGTGTCCATGCTTGTTCACTCCACAATATCATAGAAGGTGATATTTTAAATTTTTTATGGTTTTTGCCAGTCACTTAGATTCTCCAGAGTTTTTAATATGATGAGACATGACCTTCCCAGTTCCCATCTCTCTCCTTCTTCTTCCCTGGGATAGTTCATTAAAGAAGTAATTAGAGGAGTTACTGGGCTTCTGTTCTGTGTCTAGTACAACACTGAAAAGGATGAGATGAGAGCTAAAGAAGAATATGTAGAGTTCTTGTCGCAGAACACCTCCTTTAAACAGAAATACAAACAAAAAATTGCCATTCAGTATCAAAAATATTTTAGCAAAGGTTAACTGTGGAAGTGTCACTGAAGAAGAGATGAAGACTGGCAGTAGGAGTGGGATAAATTTTCTCAGAGGAGAGATCATACTTGGACTGGAAATTGCAGGATGCCTAGAATTTTCCAGTTAAAGAAGGAAGGTTATGCCAGGCAGAGGGAACACCATGAATAGAAGAGAAGCACACAGGATATAGATCCCAGGGTGCCTGCATTGCTCAGAGCCCAAGACTTGGGAGGAATGTTTGTTCAGAGGACATCAGCCAGCAGACCTAGCCAGTCGGGTGCTTGACTTGGTTCTATCTGGCTCCTCTTCCTGGGTGCAGAAGCAGCATCCCTCAGGTGGGAATGAATAAACTTCAGGAAAGCTACAAGCCATTCGCCAGGTTTCCTTGAAGAAACTAATGTTAATATTCAGTGTTTATTGTCATTTTCCTTCCACAATAAGCCCATCTATGACCTCACCCTTCATCCGCTGAACCTGAGTGGAAGCTCATTCTTAATTAAAGTACAGCTGCAAAGTTGTTTCTCCCTTGATCACATCATAAGCCAGGATGCTTCTGCTGTGTGTGTGTGTGTGTGTGTGTGTGTGTGTGAGTGAGTGCACCTGCTCTGTATGGGTGTGTGTGGGTGTGCAGTTTAAATGTTTACTAGTCTGCTATGTGAGCAAAGAACTCATCAGTTTGCAGCTTTAAAGTGAAGACAGTAAAAATAAATGAATAAATAAATAAAGTGAAGACAGTAACACAGCTAAGCCTCCATACATGCTGACATCCAGGTGTCCTTTCAGTGGGTAAATAAAAAGGGTATTTTGGAACTGATCGAGTTAACTTGCGTCTGCTGGGAATATCAGCACGTGAGTGAAGGCTGAAACCGAGGTAGTAACTTATATATATGCCATTGGCAGCTCCCATGTCTATTTCAGTCGGTGACTAACCACAATGTTTATTTCTGGAGGCTCCGGGCTGCACTGCGTATCTTCACATTCCACTGCCATCACGTAGGAGCCATGATGTTATGACAGCAGCCAGAATCAAAAGCATCATATCAGACACTCTTTCGACAAGGTTTTGTTCATAAGATATCCTGATTAGACTAGATATTAGAAGAATGCTTTTGTGAGAAAGATTAGAACTTGAGTACTTGTCAACCTCATATCACTTCAGTAAAATCATTCATTTCCATTGAGTCTCCATTTCATGATCAGTTAATGGGAGTTTGGGAGTGGGGAGTATGAAATGAATGAGGTCATTGGGAGGACACTGTCACTAGTTGGAGAGAGAGAAACAGGGGGAATGAGGAAGGGGGAGCGGCCTTTCCGCCCGATGTATATGCTTTAAAAAGGAGCTCTCTGGACAGGCTAGTGGGACTCACAGAGGGGACAAGAGCACAGTCCACAGGACAGCTGCCACCAGATTGCCATCATTTTACTTTGGCCTCGCTTCCTGACCAGTGAACATCACATACGCCATGCCCCTCCCCGACTCCACCTATGTCAGCCACAGCCCTGACCACTGGCCTTTGTGCTTTGTCCATAGGAACTTCCACTACATCACCATCCTCCGCGACCCAGTGTCCCGGTACCTGAGTGAGTGGAGGCATGTCCAGAGGGGGGCAACATGGAAGGCGTCCCTCCACGTCTGCGACGGCAGGCCCCCAACTTCTGAAGAGCTGCCCAGCTGCTACACTGGAGACGACTGGTCTGGCTGCCCCCTGAAAGAGTTCATGGACTGTCCCTATAACCTCGCCAACAACCGCCAGGTGCGCATGCTATCCGACCTCACACTCGTTGGCTGTTACAACCTGTCGGTCATGCCCGAAAAGCAGAGGAACAAGGTCCTCCTGGAAAGTGCCAAATCAAATCTGAAGCACATGGCGTTCTTCGGCCTCACTGAGTTTCAGCGGAAGACCCAGTATCTGTTTGAGAAAACCTTCAACATGAACTTTATTTCTCCCTTTACCCAGTATAACACCACTAGGGCCTCTAGCGTAGAAATCAATGAGGAACTCCAAAAACGTATTGAGGGACTGAACTTTCTGGATATGGAATTGTACAGCTACGCAAAAGATCTCTTTTTGCAAAGGTATCAGTTTATGAGGCAGAAGGAGCATCAGGAAGCTAGACGGAAGCGTCAGGAACAACGCAAATTTCTGAAGGGAAGGTTCCTTCAGACCCATTACCAGACCCAGAGTCAGGGCCAGAACCCGAATCCGAGTCAGAACCCAAACCTGAATGCTAGTCAGAGTGGGACTCAGAATCTGCTTCAGAATCTGATTCAGAATCTGACTCAGAGCTCGGGTCAGAATCCAAATCCAAAGGAGAACCAGGAAAGCCAGAAGCAGAATCCAGGCCAAGAGCAGAGCGATGGCAGCACCGGCAATGGCACCCATGACTATATAGGCAGCGTAGAGAAATGGCGCTAAGTGGCCCCCAAATTTCACACACTTCTCCCAAAGCGCCAGTCAAAATAGGCCAATCCTCAAACATGAGAGCGTCCAAACAAATCCTGCTTCCTAAACTTTGGAAGTTCAAAAGAGTTAAGATGTCGCCTTTACAGTTGCCTTTCAATTCAGTGTTCTACTGTGCGTGGGTAAAACAAATTTCAATATGTAATTAAATTGCCTTTTTTTTTTGGTTTGTTGGAGTATTTATAAAATCCAAAAGCCAAACCAGACTCACCAGAAATTGCTGTTTAGATATTTTAAGAAGTTCTTAAATTAGTCATAGGGACAAAATGGAAACATAAAATGTGGCCATTTAACTTATGCCTAAGAAATGGACTTTACATTATTCATGATACACTGTCAAAACCCAATCTTGGAAGCAAACATTTTTTCCAGGGGTAAGCATGAATATAACATAAAACAAACTAAACACGAAACTTCATTTTCTTCTGATTATAACCAAGAATCTATTTAAATAAAATAAGAACTGATGGTAGAGTTTACTAAACTGTAGAAAATGGAAAACTTCTCTCCCAAACATGGGTAGTTTTATGTAAAAATATTGGCTTTTGAGTAGAAAGGAACTCATCTTGTTATTTGAGATGTTTAAAATTTTAAACTTTTTCTACCTTCTGCTATTTAAAGGTTTTAAACAGGGTGTATCTCATATTAAACCAAACACTTTTTCCAAATGGAGTACCAATGTAAAGATCTAATTTCCAGACGATTTCTGGGCACTGTAATTTTAACAATTCTGGAATCTTTTTGGCGCTGCTTCTCATTCATTTTAAAGCTTCTCCGAGTTGTGCTCATTCCAAACTAACCCGTTTTAGAATCTTTCTTCATCATCTAAATGGTGTGTTGCTGAATTTATTGTGATATATAATCCTGGATTAAAGTCAGGACTTTCTTTCTATAGAATTGTCTTATCAATGTTTGTGTAGTGAGATCCTTATCAAGAAACTCTTGAACAGGATAGCGTGTCTTAAAATATTGCTGAAGTTAGTATTCTATTCTTGATCAGATAGAATTGAACCTGAATGTGAATGAATTGTTATTTACTTTTTGTTCATTTTTATTGTAATGTTTCCAGTTGGGCTGGCTCTTTCTAGCCCATTAGTTCTTTTTCATGTTGACAGAGTGTAGACAATTACAAGAGAAAAACAAGGTTGGAATAAGCACTAGGATAGCCAACGTTATTCAGGAACACCAAAAGCTTTATCTCGATACTTTGGGTAAGCCGTGTACCAGGTTTAGTTTTGAGAAAACAAAAGGCAAAAGAATTCTGCAGTGAGGTTAAACATCAGAAGCATATGGGTTGAAGAAAGTGATTTGGTATTGGAAGTCTGTGCAAAAATACTTTCAGGGTATCAAGTTTGAATTGCAGGGGGCGAAAAGATGCTTGCTGTGTTAGCAAGCATCCTGATTCTGGGCAGCTTCCATATTACGGGTTTTGCTGTCCTTTCGTAAGGACTTACACTAAGCCTCTGGCTGTAAATCAGAAAGGCAACTGGAAGTGGCATTTATGTTTTCATGAGGGACATGCTTAGAAATGTGACCATAAAGTCACGTCTTATACAATCTGCTCATTTGCATGATCTAGCTTCATCTGTAATAATAAGGCCACAAACTGGACAAGAAGCTGAGTACTTGGGTTAAAAAGTGTTTTTGACTCTGCACTTGTATCAGTAGATCTAAATTTTGTTTTGCCTGACAGTATCTCCGTCCTGGGAATCTGAGAACTGGAAAACTGAAAGGAAAAAAATTTTCAAAATCCAAAATACCTTAAAGTCAAACTGTTTTAGAGTGAAACTATTTTGTGTACTTTGTGTTTTTAAACTAATGATTCTGTAGATCACTGTGGTATTTCAATTTCATTTTGTTTTAATGGATGATGTTTGCTTTTAAAGCTGATAGGTAATGTTGGAAAGCAGGATGAAGCCCGAGCCAGTGGAAAAGCTTGCTACAGAAAAAAATATTTTGTGTTATTGCTGTGGTGTGCATGGTTCGCAGAGATTAAGTGCATTTTCTCTGTCTATACTGATTTATTGTATATAGGGGATGTTATAAATATACATTTTGGTCATCATCATGTAAATCCCATGATTTCAACTGTAAACATCTGTCCAGTGATGTAGCTTTACAAACCATTTACTGATTTTGTGTAATTTAACAATAGATATGAAATAAAGTTTAAATAACAGACGCTGAGTTATTTCGTGATTTCAAAGTTTGCAGCCACTAGACATCATGACATCACAGAGAGAATTCTCTTTTCTCAAGGAGTTTCTTATTTTCCTCTTGGCCACCAGATATGGAGATGAGATGAGCCACTCTAATGTAGCATGTGCCAATGACCTTAATCTTGGGTGCTTCCCTCTGAGGGTCCAGAGTGTGTTCTCTCTCTCTCTTTTTTTTTTATTGGTTTAAATGATTTATTAGTCATAGTAAAAATGTGCTCAAAATGTTAATCCTTGTCATTTGAAAGGTTACAGTTGCAATAAAAATTCCTATATTTCTGGTAGTTCACTGATTGAATATTGAGAAGTCACAGCAAATAACTGACAGATAGCAAGTGTGCATAATTTCTTTCTTTCTTTACTTTCTGTCTCCTTTTAGTGCTGCTGTTGTTCAAGAAAGTATTTTGCTCAAGTGTATGACAATATTGGCCATTTTTGAATATGTGAAAATATAATTTTTAAAGCCAGTTATTGTCTATTATTTGATTCATTAAAGTTTCTGCTCAGCTTTCATATCAGTTCAGTTCAGTTCAGCTGCCCAGTCATGTCTGACTCTTTGCTACCCCATGGACTGTACCACACCAGGCTTCTCTGTCCATCACCAACTCCCAAAGCTTGCTCAAACTCATGTCCATTGAGTTGGTGATGCCATCCAACCATCTCATCCTCTGTCATCCCCTTCTTTCTTTTTTTTTCATTTATTTTTATTAGTTGGAGGCTAATTACTTTACAATATTGTAGTGGTTTTTGCCATACATTGACATGAATCAGCCATGGATTTACATGTGTTCCCCATCCCGATCCCCCCTCCCGCCTCCCTCCCCATCCCATCCCTCTGGGTCTTCCCAGTGCACCAGCCCTGAGCACTTGTCTCATGCATCCAACCTGGGCTGGTGATCTGTTTCACCCTTGATAGTACACTCGTTTTAATGCTATTCTCTCAGAACATCCCACCCTCGCTCTTTTGAATAAAACAAAGTTATCCATGAAAGACAAAGTTGGCTATGTGTTTTAGTCAGCTCTGGTTGCTATACCAAAATACCATAAACTGGGTGGCTTGTCAACAATGGAAATTTATTTTCTACAGTTCTGGAAGCCAAAAGTCTGAGATCAGTTGGCCAGTATGGTTGGGTTCTGATGACTCTTCCCAGTTTCAGAAGTCTGTCTTCTTGCTGTGTCCTCATATCACAGGAAGTAGCTAGCTAATTCTCTGGGTTTTTCTTATAAGGGCACTAGTCCCATTCATGAGGGCTCCCATGGATCACCTCCCAAAGGCCACACCTCCTAATACCATCACAGTGGGATTAGAGTTTCAACATATGAATCTGGTGGGGACATTCCGTCCCTTATGCTATGCAAATGAAATATGTGAGTGTTTTAATTTAAAAATTATTCAATGAAATACTTGCACATTTAAGAGCATGTGGGAAAGAAAAATAATACTTTTTTTATTTTTTATCTTTTATCTATCCCCTCTGTCTGGGATATAGGTTAAAGGTGAGCATTAAAGTATTGGCTTTGCACCAGCTCTGAGCACTTGTCTCATGCATCCAACCTGGGCTGGTGATCTGTTTCATCCTTGATAGTATACTTGTTTCAATGCTGTTCTCTCAGAACATCCCACTCTCGCCTTCTCAGTACAATATTATAAAGTAGTTAGCCTCCAACTAATAAAAATAAATGGGAAAAATTTAAAAAAATAAATAAACCACACAGTGCTTTTGCCAAAAAAAATAAAGTATTGTCTTTGAAAGTTATGATGACAATGTCTTCTAATTATATTCAATGTGCATATTTTTCCAAAAAAAATTATGGTTATGACTATGAGTGGGGATGGTTTGTTCTTGTCTTTTTCAAAAGAGAATTTAGATGCCAGATCATGGGATTAGAGGAAAGAAAGCTACAGAATTTGAGGAGTTTAACTATACTCAGCCTACCAACTATTCATACTTACAAAGTCCTGCCCACCAAATGTTCACTGAGCAATAATTGGGTGGTCAAAGTTCCTGATTGTCAGAGGGCCCCATGGTTTCCTCTTGGGAGGAACTGTGAACAGGAATATAGAGCTCAAGTACTAGTTGCTCAGTAATGTCTGACTCTTCGACCCCATGGACTGTAGCCCTCCAGACTCAAGAACTGGAAATATTTAGGAAATAAAGATTATTTCTCTTTACACTCCAGGAGGATATTCTTGGAGAGTACTCGCTGAAATGGGGAAAATATTAAAAATCTGCACTCTGCTTCTGGGCACAGAGACTGAGGAAAGGGGCTCCAGGTAGCCCAGAGAAGAACTCTAATGAAGAAATAACTAACTGGCCCAGTTTCTAAGGACTTAGGATTCTCAATAGGAATTACAGCAAAGTAAAATCTAGGCTGTCTTTGAGAGGTGGGAGATCTAAAGAACTGTTACACTGGCACTGATGATTTTGTTTCATGGGGTGGGGAATTAGAAGTGAAAAGAACTCTAAAAGACTCACAGGCCGGGCTTTAGACAACCGCATTCTCCCCATGCCTGAGACACAGAAGAGACCAACAGACTCGGCTAGGCTGGTGATCTGCAACTCCAAGCTTTATTGTCCTGTTCTGAGGACTGCTTCTCTCTAGTCTTTACTAGGAATCAGAACAAGCAAACAGACAAAGCCGGGGCTGGGGGTGGGGGGCGGATTTTAAAGAGTCTAACAAGATACAATGTGTGCTGACTCCAAATATAATCCCATGGGATTGTGGAATAGGGCAATCCTAATCTCTCATATAGCCAGAGTGAGATGAGCTGATGGTCTTAAACATCAGAGGAACTTGATCAAGACCTCAAAAATTCTACAGTAAATTTATAACACATCAATCAGACCTTCAGAACAAGGGCTTCCGTGGTGACTCAGATGGTAAAGAATCTGCCTTCAATGCAGGAGACCCGGGTTCAATTCCTGGGTCGGGAAAATCCCCTGGAGAAGGGAATGGCAACTTACTCCAGTAATCTCATCTGGAGAATTCCATGGACAGAGGAGCCTGGTGGGCTACAGTCCATGGGGTCGCAAAGAGTCGGACTCGATTGAGCGACCAACACTTAGAACTGCAGGAGAAACCCATCTTGAGAAAAGGAAATCAGCTATTTCTCAGTGTAAATAACACTGTTCGGAGCAGCTAGACCAGAGGTTCAAAAAATGATAGACCTGGGGCCAAGTCCCTCCACCCGCTTTTGTAAATAACAGTGTATTGGAACATGGCCACGCCCATATTTTTGCATATTTCCTCTGGCTACTCTCACAACCCCAGAGGCAGGAACAGCTGAAACACTGATGGCCCAAAAAGCTAAAATATTTATTTTCTCGCCCTTGAGAGAAAAAAACTGGTCAACCTCTGAGCTAGAGAGCCAATCCAAATTTCCCAAATAGTAAAATCTCAGCAGAGTCTGTAATGATTCCAGGGTCAGAGAGGATAGAAGAGTGTGATTCAGACAACATACTTTCCAATCAACAACACCACACTAATATTTATGGGATGTGTGCTCAGTCGTGTCTGACTCTGCAACCCCGTGGACTGTAGCCCACCAGGCTCCTCTTTCCATGGGGATTCTCCAGGCAAGAATACTGGAGTGGGTTGCCATGTCCTCCTCCAAGGCATCTTCCCAACCCAGGGATGGAACCCAGGTCTCCTGCATTGCAGGCTGATTCTTTACTGTCTGAGCCACCAGGAAATCCCACATTTATGGGGTACCTACTATTATATGCAAATCGCTTCGTGAGGCCTGAGAACAGGGAAGAATCTGATCTTTCCCCCAAAGAATTATGAAAATCTAAACCAAATGCTGTGTCAGAGAGTATAGTTAAAAGCTTAATTAGTTCTTCAATGTGTGTGTGTTTTATTACATGCTTGTAAAAACTGCAAACGATATGGAAGCATGTAAGTAAAAAATGAAATGAACAATTACCTACACAATTCTCACTCTTCCAAAATAACTAGTGGAATTATATGATTTCTTCCAGACCACCTTGTCCTTTTCACATTCAAATCTAACATCTCTCTTTCTCTCTTCCCTCACTTTTTCCCTCTCTCCCAACACACAACACAAAAATGAAACCATACCATATAGTTCTCAATTTCCTTTTTTAAATCTCAGCAATGTATCCTGGTTTTCCTTCCAAAATGAGAATATAGTGAGTGGATGACCCTAAACCCCTAAGCCCCCAAATAGATTAATGCTGATATTATATATTGAGAATGTAGGCTCTGGATCCATACTGCCTGGGTTTGAATCTCAGTCCCATCATTTACCATGTCTGTGACCTTGGAGAAGTCACTAGCCTCTCCATGCCCCAGTTTCCTCCCCTATAAATGGAGAAAATTACAGCTCTAACTTCAATTGGTTATTGTGAGAAATAAAAGAGTTCATATGTGTAAAGGACTCAGAACAGAATCTGACACAAAATAAACTTAATATGCATTTGATAGTATTATCATTATTATTGTTCCTAATATGAAAACTAGCTGTCTGGTGAATGCCTATCTCTTTAATAGCTAAAGGCTGACTCTGAGATGAAGAATTGAAAATATATATATAAAAAACAGATTTTTTACATAATTAAATGTATAAAGACCTACCCTAAGGTTTACTTCTGAGCTTTGAATGTAGCCAGTGACAGATCTCCTGAAAGATATAATCAACAAAATGCCAATTGAGACACCGATACTCTCTCCAGCAGTGAAAATGCATTATCTGATGTCCCCTGCTGACTGGGGACCTACTTTAGTGCACTTAGCCAAGGATGACTCACCACCAGGCCCCTTCCTTTCCCACCCACCTCCCCACCCTATATTGTCAGAGTATGGACCTGTCTGCACCCTGAAATCCCAGAGGGTTTCAGAGATCCAGCTACCTCTCACACAGACCCAGGTGGGTGCTTGGTATTCCCACACTCCAAGTCTCTACTCTGTGCAGGAGACCCTATTAAAATGCATC